GTGAATTTACAGCTGTCAGTTTACTATTTATTTCTTTAATTTTGACTTCCAATTTATCATCCAATTCCATCCTTACGTCATTCAATTCCATCCTTACGTCGTCAAATTTCTACCTCATTTTCTCTTCCAATTCTTGGACATTATCTAGAATCTTCTGTTCCAAATATTCTTTTAAATTTTTAGAATTTTCCAGAATTTTTTGCTGCAAATCATCCTTTAAATTGTTGGAATTTTCCACCATTTTCTGTTACAAATCGACTTTTAAATCGCTAGAATTTTCTACCATTTTCTGTTGCAAATCATCCTTTAAATCGTTGACATTTTCCAGAATCTTTTGTTGTAAATCGACTTTCAGTTCTTTAGAATTTTCTAGAATGTTCTGTTTTAAATCACCTTTCAAATTGTTAGAATTCTCCAACATTTTTTCGTTTAAATTTTGCAACATTAAATGCATATCACACGGGCCTTCAAATAAATACGTATCTGGATTTTCACCTTCCTGCTCCAACGCTTCTCGAAGCCGCTGCTGCAACACATTCTTTTTTCCAGTTGTTTCACATTCTCGTTCTTCCAGCTCCCGCTTAAGGTCCGCCACTTTTAAGTCCATTAACGAAACCATTTTCGCGAAGTTTCACACTAACCCCACATCTGACACCAATGTAACGTTTTTAACTGTTCGTAGTGTGAAATAAAACACGCACTGGATAATTAACGAACGAACTATTTTATTTAATAACTTAACTACACTTAAAACACTATAAAACTAACTAAACACTTAACTACTAATTATTTATATCACTACTGTTTATTTATTTGCACTTATATTTATTTATTTCTTCGCGAGTACCAAAGCTCAACTGACTCTCCCAGATGCGTCGTTCCTTATATATTCAGCGCCTACTTCTTCTGGAACATTCCAGCGAGCTCCACACTCTCGATTATTCGAGCGCTGAGTCACCGGCGATGAGTCATCATTCCGAGATCCAGAGCCGTACTTGCTACAATACATATTATCGTATTCTGACTTTCCCATAATCAGGCAAACTGTTTGAGGTCCTATGATAAATGGACATGGTGCGCTGTCTTAACTTCGTTTATATACCTAATCGAGGTGGTACCACGAGCGAGATGTAAATGATGTGTATAAGTATAAAGTTTGTTACGTAACATAAATGTAACTGTTACGTAACAAACTTATTACAATAGTATTGCAATGTTACGTTACTGTTATATTGCATATTGGTAATTTTGTTATATTACAATAGTTTTACAATGTTACGTTGCTGTTATATTGCTTATTGGTAATATTGTTACATTACAATAGTTTCACAATGTTACGTTACTGTTATATTGCATATTGGTAATTTTGTTATATTACAATAGTTTCACAATGTTGCGTTGCTGTTATATTGCTTTTGTTACATTACAATAGTTTCACAATATTACGTTGCTGTTATATTGCTTATTGGTAATTTTGTTACATTACAATAGTTTCACAATGTTACGTTGCTTTTATATTGCTTATAGGTAATTTTGTTACATTACAATAGTTTTACAATGTTACGTTGCTGTTATATTGCTTATTGGTAATATTGTTACATTACAATAGTTTCACAATGTTACGTTGCTGTTATATTGCTTATTGGTAATTTTGTTACATTACAATAGTATCGCAATGGTACGTTATTGTTATATTGCATATTGGTTAACTTGGGACGGTAACAATGTTATCATTACTTTAGATAACTGTTGCGTTGCATTTTAGTAACATCGTTACATTAAAATGTTACTCCTCCCTGCTTAAAATACCCCATAGAGACCCTGTTCAAACCGATAGATATTTGTATCGGGATGTATGGTGTTTCTATAGGGTGTATCGGTTTGTATAGGACCCATAGTTGAGATTTATTGTTGTTCTATAGGGACATCCACCCTTGATTTATTTGCTATCGGTTTTAATGGGTAAAATACACATAAATGTAGAAATTAGTTTTTCCCCTATAGGACCCCATAGGTTTTAATAAAATTTTGCCAAATGTTTTATGGTTGCTCTATAGGGATATCCCTATATATCCTTCATTGAGTTATTTGCTATCGGTCTCAATAGGGAAAATGTAAAAGTTATGGTGTGCCTATAGGTAATTTCCTATACATTTTCTATCGGGCCGTATTCGAAAAAAACCATGGACAAATGCACATATTGAATCCGGTAGCGCCCGATGGATTATTTTGGGGTATTTTAAGCAGGGCTATGTTACATAACGGCACTGTGTTACGTTAAATGTTGACCGGGTTGTTATAAATTCAAAAAATTATAATATTTTTTAAGTTTTTGTTTATTAGCTTTTCTTTGCTAAATTTGTGTTTTTTTAAATTAAATAAAGTTATAAATAGGAATAGGTATGTTTTCTTTGAATAGTTTAATTAATTTTCTTCCTAAACTAACTAAAAAGTAATTGCTTTATAATTTTAAAATAATTCAACAAATTTATAAGCAATTCAATTACTAAGAAGTAATTAAAATATCTTTAATTATAGTTATATCCGTTGCATCTCCGCGTAAAGCCAGAGTCAATTCTGTAGCTTTTTCTTCTGGTAGCCAGCCATTTGCTTTTGCTGCTGCCTCAAACTGACGGATGTAGTTGGTTCAAGAAGTTTTTCCATCGAACTGAGGTGGTTTCATTCGAACTCGGCTCCCCTCTGGCATTGTTCCTGGTTCCGCCAGCATCATGGGTAAATTTATAGCTGTCAGTTTACTATTTATTTCTTTAATTTTGACTTCCAATTTATCAATTCCATCCTTACGTCATTCAATTCCATCCTTACGTCGTCAAATTTCTGCCTCATTTTCTCTTCCAATTCTTGGACATTATCTAGAATCTTCTGTTCCAAATATTCTTTTAAATTTTTAGAATTTTACAGAATTTTCTGCTGCAAATCATCCTTTAAATTGTTGGAATTTTATATAATATTTTTTAAGTTTTTGTTTATTAGCTTTTCTTTGCTAAATTTGTGTTTTTTTAAATTAAATAAAGTTATAAATAGGAATAGGTATGTTTTCTTTGAATAGTTTAATTAATTTTCTTCCTAAACTAACTAAAAAGTAATTGCTTTATAATTTTAAAATAATTCAACAAATTTATAAGCAATTCAATTACTAAGAAGTAATTAAAATAACTTTAATTATAGTTATATAACTATAATTAAACTTATTCTAATTACTTCTTAGTAATTGAATTGCTTATAAATTTGTTGAATTATTTTAAAATTATAATATAGGCAATATTGCCTATATAATCAATTACTTTACAGGGTAATTGGTAATTGAACTAAATTTTTTACTCTGGTACTTGGTAATATCTATGTGCAAAAATAATTGGAAATTGTAATTCAATTATTTTTTAAAAGTAATTGCGACAGCTCTGGTCGAGGGCGAGGGTTAAGGCAGATATTCCCAAAGTGTGCGGCGCTTAAGGGAGCCCAGAGACGCCAAACCTGTAAGTGCGCTGCGAACTAAATATGTTTGGGAACCCCTGCATTAAGGCTTAAGTATTAATTAACACGTTGATGGACACAGACAAATTTTTCATACACCTTTTATCCTATCATCAACAAATTTTACCGGTAACTTGATGATGCCTTTAGGGCTGTATATGGCCTTTAAAAAAGTTTGACGGCTATAGCCGTCATGCCCCATTATGACATTTTAAAAAAAAAAAAGGTGTGGTGGGTCATGACGGTCATAACTGTCCATGTTTTTTTCATTTCTACTTATCCATTATGGTAGTATAAAGTCACTGGTGAACAAATTATACTTTAATAATGACAAAAAGTCTAGATTCAAATTTAAATATTTATTTTTAATTTCAACAGTCTATATATATCTATAAATACTTATAATTTATAAGTTATAAAATATCTATAAATAATATAAAATTTATTTTATAAAAAGAAATTGCGTTTTTAGGACGAGAAGAAACATTTTAACGATAAAAATATAGTTATAGAAGTTATATAGTGATAAAAAATAATATAATTGTTCAAAAACTTATACTTACTAGCTTTGTTACATCCAAATTTTACTCCACCTCACAACAATCAAATTTTTACTCCACCTAACAACAATCGGTCACAAAAACGGCCGAATTTTAGGTTTAAAATTGCGCTTAACAGATACTCATATAAAAATTAATTTGCAACCAACTACATTCTGCAACCAAAAATACATAAGGTCTCATGGGACAAATATGTCAGAGCTTCCTATGGATTTCATTGTTAATGCGCCTGCATATGCAGGCTTGTCATAAATCAGCTAGAAAATTGCGACTGCTATAGCCGTCGTGTCATATTGAGCCCGACGGCATTTGCAGTCCTGTCCATGAACGTGTTAAAATAAATAAATACAACATTAAAGTTTAATATCAAAAATGATAAATAAAAAGAAACAATATTTCCTACAAATAACAAATATGATATGGCAAGAAAAGTAATAAAATGATACAAAAATCCATTTTGCAGTAAACTATTATTCTAAATATAACAAAAAAAATTAAATTAATAAAAAAAAAAAAAAAAACAAAAAAAACTATTGTCATTTTTAGGGTAGGTAGTTGGTTCAGGAAGGAGAAATCAAGCAATTTATTAAGTTATTTTTAAATCAATTGACATAATTTGATTCAGTCCATTTATCTACTGGACATTTTTTTATAGCCGTTTCCTTCAATTGATTTGTATTATTCTTAAAAAAGGTTTTTTACGTTTTTAGTTAGGATATTTAGTTTTGTATATTTGTATTTTTTTTATTATTAGTATTTAAATAAAAAATTACAAAAGGTGACCTAGAAAAATAAAAAAAATAAATGGCGCAGACAATTTTAAGTCAATTGATTAATTGCCCATTCAGTACATTATTAAGCTTAACAAAGTTTAGGGTTTTTATAACTAGTAGAAAAACAATATTTAAAAAAATAATAAGACTTGTAAATAGAAAATATGGATTAGCTATACATTTTTTTTGGTCATAGTATAAATAAATAAATGAGAAAATGTGTACAAAATAACCATAGTATTACATTAATTAATTAATTAAACTTAATCGCTATTTTTTTATTGATTTTTTAATGACATCAAAATTCATATTTCAGTATCTGAAGCATTGTCATTGTAACTTCTAGAATTTTTTCCAAACAACCTTTTGCTTCTTTTAGGTTCCATGATTGTGGCGGTGTCTAGGACAGTCTTCATGCGTTTCGTATTTATTTTTTTAATACCCAAGTCTTCCATATCTTCAGAACTAATGGGGATATCGACAGTGGCTCTTCTAGACTTTTTCGTTTTTTTTGCTTGGTCATTTTCTTTTTTTTTTCTTAATACTTCTCTCATTGCATCAGTATAACCAGCTAATGCTTCATTAGCAGTATTTTTTTCAATTTCTTTGGAATTACTTTTTAACTTTTTGGGACTACTTTTTGTAGGCATTGTTGATTCACTGTCTGCTTTAGGTTTTTGTCCTTTTTTAGTTGTGGCCTCATTTTCGCTCTGTTTTCTTTTTTTTGGTGTAGATTTTTGATTGGACACTAATTTATCTGGCTTTTTGTTAGAAAAGACAAGTTCCTGGTTTAATACGCCCCCTGCATCTTTTATACCCTTTAAAAGTATTTTCTTAATCTTTTCATAATCTGGTTCCGTGTTAAATTGTAAGGTCTTTAAATACTTAAAATATGATAATAAAACATCTAAAAACAATGAAATATATTAAGAATTGCAACACAAATGTACTTAAAAAATACCTGGACAATTGTTGGAGCCAAAGCATGCTTTACTTATCTTTTGAAATGAATCCATATGACTTTCCTTACTTTCATTTACAGTTTTTGGGTTACTAACCTTCCCTTCCCATGGTAAAGTACAACCTAGCCATTGAATCATATTGTAAAATAATATTTCCAAATCACCTCTTCTTGTTTGTACTTAAATAAAAAAAAATGTTTAAACCATATCGTTATATTTATAAATAAAATAACATACTAAAGGGTAATAATGCTCTAAATGAGACGACAGCGCGAAGGTTAGTGATTAAATTTAAGAAAAGTGGTTTGGTTGGGGACATAAAAATGAGTCGTACTAGCCGATCCGCTGAAAATATTGCAGCAGTAGGGAAAAGTGTAACCGAAAATCCTGGAACTTCGATTCGTCATCGTTCCCAACATTTCGAGGAGCAGTTTACAGCAAATTTTAACAAAAGATCTACATTTGCATTCATACAAAATACAATTAACACAGGAGCTAATCCTAGTAGTTCATGCAATGCGCCGGGAATTTGTTAATTGGATTCTGGCAAGACAACAAGATGTTGAATTTCCATAGTAGGGCAGTATTTCTCTTAGGGAAATTCTTCAAAGCATTGTCAAACAGAATTGATGCTTTGGAGGAGAGGACCGGAGGAAAGAAAAAGTCTGGTGGGTTTAAATATGTTGAATGTGTGCCAGTGTTTATATTAAAGATAAAATTTTATTGCAGTTCATTTACCTAAAAAATCTTGGTGCCAAAAGTGTTTGCAAATATGGCACTTAAAGAATCGATAACTGATATTTTGACAATATAGTTCACCTTTCTGGGAAATAATAATAAAAGAATACAAAATTATATCACGTAATCTATTGCAAGTCAATGTTTTCATCCTTTTTTCATTAAGTTTTAGTTTTCATTGGCAATTTCTTCTGTCTACGGTTGCTGTACAGGGTCTTGTTTTGAAGGCCCCACATCAAATAAAGAGTTCTTGCCACACATTCAAGAATCATTAAAAAATCACCAGACAACGTGAGGCAAACAAATTAAAAAAACAGCCGAAAACGCCAGAAAGTGAAGCAACATAATTTAATGATAATCCTCAAAACTATAGTTTTGTATACAGAGGATAATGTTGAATAGGAGCAAATTTAAAAATTTTAATGTTTTTTTGTATTTTTTAATATTTTGTTTGTGTTTTAATTGCCTATTTTATTTTATGGAAGAAAATCTAAATAACTATATACAGGATGGTCCAGGATTAATCTGAAAATTTTTAATGATCGATAGAGCCTGAAAAAACAATAAAAACAAACCCAAAAACATTTTTTTTAAATGCATACTAACGGAGATATAGTCCTTTAAAATAATTTTTAAACCATTAAACCGATTCTTCTCAAATTTTGTGTAGGTTAAGCTTCTGTCGATAATATAATGAAAATTTCCTACAAAAGGCCCAGTGGCGAAGATTTTGGGGGGATTCCCCTTTTTACCCTCATATTTTCGTCGCCACTGGATTTTATTAGAAAATCATCATATTTATTTTTATCCCTTTTCAATGTAAAAGCAAAACTTTTATGTTAATTTTTTATCAGATCAGTGGTTTCGGAGATATTTCAGTTTAAAATTTCAAAAACACTGATCTTATGAAAATTTAACACACAAGTTTTGCTTCTAAATTGAATAAGAAATCTGATGATTTTCCAATAAAATCCTGTGGTGTCGAAATATGGGGGTAAAAAGGGGAAACCCCCCCAAAATCTCCGCAGCTGGGCCTTTTGTAAAAAAAATTACCTACACAAAATTTGAGCAGAATCGGTTTAATGGTTTAAAAGTTATTTAAAAAAAAACGTGTTTTGCCTTTGAAGGGCTATTAGTGTGTTAGTGTGTATTTTTGAAAAATGTTTTTGGGTTTGTTTTTATTGTTTTTTCAGGCTCTATCGATTATTACAATTTTTCAGATTAATCCTGGACCACCCTGTATAGTTATGGGTTTTGAAAGGCAAAAGGACTGTTTATTTGATGCAAACATATCCAAATTTAAAAAAAATATTATCAATTTAAATGCTAGCATTTAAGTTGGTAATTATTTAGATATGTTTGCATCAAATAAACAGTATTTTTGCCTTTCAAAACCCAAAACTTGATTTTTTCAAATATTTGAATTATTCCACCAAAAGTAGGCGCGCATCCGATTCGAATTTAATCGAAAATCAAGGTTTGATATCACATTGAGTTCAAATGAGGAATTAACTTGATATGTTTTTGACCTCAAAGCTTGATGTATAAAATCAAGTCTTGAGCTCGCGTTGATATCAACTTGAACACAACTTTGTTAGCTGGGTACGCTAAAGAAGTATCGCTAGTAGCGCCACCACTCGGCTGTTATCATCGTAACAAAAGTAGAACTTTTAATAATCAGCTGTCAAACGCTTAGGTTACAAATGAGTATTTTTGTGAATAAAGCCGGAAAATGTTAAAAAATATCGAAAAAAAAACAGTGGATGGATTTGTTGTGTTGTTGGGTGTATTTCGAGAGGAAATCCTGGGTTTTTACCGGTTTTCCAATAAACAGTGTTAATCTGAATGAAGAAATAAATTGCATACAGTCTCTGTAAATATAAATTGTATTAGATACAATAAATACACATTTTAGTAGTGATTAACGTGAAAAGTGTAAACATTTCAATTTAGTAAAAATCGTCAAACAAACAAATCGTCTAAATTTAAACAGCATTTAGCATTATTAAAAGCTTTGATTAAGAATTCTTTAAAGTCTATATATAATATTATGTTGCCATAAATTCGTAGGTATATTTTGTTGTTTAAAATGCAGTTGTCGGCGTTTTTTAGAGAACTCAAATATAAAAATGATTGATTTTAAGGTTATGTGTGTGCAAAAATTAGTTTTTACTTAAGCTACATTCGTAATGAATTCGCTGGCCGAGTGACACTTTGGCAAGCAAGTCGGCATGAAATTTACCATTCACAATAACTTTAGAGTCGAATTTAACGCATGGGCTTTGGTAACTGTCATGTTCTTTGTAAGGTTAGAATTTGCATTATTTTGTTTTTGTTTGGTGCTATTTTTTAAATGTAAAAATGGACAACAATCAATCAAGTAGTTTACTTATGTTCTGTAAGTGCTCATTCATAATGGACGTAACCATAAGATTTCCGTAAAACGTAAACATAATATCACCATAGGTTGTGTTTATAATAAACGTATGCCTTATGTATATATTAATAAGGCGCGCATGTCCAAGTTCACTAAAATGGCAGCATTGACAGATTTCGTCTAATTATTGTCTTAAAACTTAAAAGTTTTAAGACATAATAATTATAATTATATATATAAATTAAGTTAAAACTATCAGTGTTATCATAACCTTTTTCGCCCAGCACATATAAAAATGAATCATATCAAACCTAAAAATATGACCGAAAATAATATATATCGTCCCTAGGGCCGCTAAACTTGATTTTTGTAGTTTTTCCCAATCTAGACACCTTTGACTGACATTTATGTATTTTGGCATTTGATATTTTGACATTTAAGATTTTCAGACGTTTGTGTAAATCAAAATAAAAACGGACAACAAAAGTATAAAATAACAATAAAACATAATTTAAATTTTGTAATAAATTGAAAATGAATGGTAACTCGGACAGTGACGAAAAATTTACGAATACTTGACAAGATTTGAAAAAGAGGAAGCTAGCAATGTTAAGACAATGCGTTGAAACGGTACGAAAAGTGCTATGAATTATTTAAAAACTGGAAAAAGGATCAAAAAGCCAAAAACTTAACAGAAAATGTATTAGTTGCTTATCTATCAGAAAGATCAAAGATAATTCTAATGAAACGTCAACTTCATCTGTAGAAATAAGCCTTCAAATTCTGGTACTATCCACAATTGTGCTCAAGGCATAATTAACATTAATTGCAACAATAAATAAATTCGTAAATTGTTACTGAACTTTCTTATAAAATTCCGTTTATATTAATAAAATTAAAAAAAAATAATTTGTTTGATGCTAGGCGAAAAACAGGTGTGTGTCACACATTCAGAAAACGCATTAGCAGCCCTTAGCTATCAACTGCCCTCGCTTCGCTTCGCTCGCTCGCGCATTTAATAGCCGCGGGCTGCTAAAGCTAGTTTTCTGCCCTTGAGACACAATATACTATAGTGTAATACGTTGGCAAAGAGAAGAAGTTTGCCCACAACCGAAAAGAAGCAACGGAAACCTCGTCGGTGGAGTGTAAAACCAGTGAATAGGGAAAAAGGGCGAATTTCGTCGAATAATACTGAAACTAAAACTTTAGGATAAGGAATGGTTCTTTAGATTGTTTGTTCTGTGGATACACCAGAATACACTTAAAAAGATCTGTCATCTGTTTGCATGGCTACTACCCTGATTGCTACCAACAATGTTCTAGTGAAATCATGAAAATTACTAAAATTCACACATAAGAAATCCGTAAAGTTGAGATGATTTCAACTTTACGTATTTTTTACAGTCACCCATAAGATCTTATGTTCGAACGTAAAACGTAAAAATTTCAGCTACTCATTATAAACAGGCACACTGGTTTTGTTAATATTCAACTTTACGTTTTACGTATTTCTTACGGACATCTTATGATTACGTCCATTATGAATGAGCACTTGGGCTTTATGCAGCACATATTAAAATTAATTTAACATTAACATAAAGTTTACATTACGCTAATTAATTAAGCTAATTATTTCTTACGGGCATCTTATGCATAACCATGGTTACGTGATGTAACTTACGTCCATTATGAATGAGCACTAATAGTTTATTTAGTGATAAATTCTTATTACAATGTGTTTCAAACTACAAAACACTAATGTTCTCTTTATAATAAATAATAATAATAAACTTACTGTAAAGAAAGTATACATTAAGTTACATACATACATTTACATTTACAATCGATTCAACACAGGTACACTGTTGTTTATGTACCTAGTACAATTTTCAGTTCTTTAATTTAATTGCATTATCACAAGTCGAATAAAGATTATTCATTTTGTTATCAATAAATCACTTTAGTTTATTTAAATAAAGCAAGAAAAATGTATTTAATCACAATAAAAACACTACACACACAAAACTCAACGCCATTGAAAAAGTCAAACCTTCATAACAAAGG